TTGGTTTCAAGTGAGCATAATAATCCATGCGCTTTGTATAGGAGTTCTATAGAACTTGTATACAAAGCTTCAAATTATATGTTGGAATTCCACTATATCGCAAAACACCAATGAAACGCTTTAAGCTTTTGCATATTCACGTTCCTATTAATTGACTATAAAATCGAACTTTGGCTTTTTACATGTGCATTTCATTGAGTTCACTTCACGGTTCACTTTGCTGAGATGGAGACGTATGAAGAGTGCTGTTGCGAAATGTTAGCGGTCGACAAGGACGACGATGCAATCCTATCGCAATTGGTGGACAGTTTTGAAAACGAGAACTCGTCCTTAACTGTAAAAAGTGAGTTTGTTTAAAAGTATGATGATTCTGTTGATTATTTCATGTGATGCTATTGYCTTGACTTTTAACTGCTTGTAAATATGCTTTCAACTAAATGAATTCTTTATTTTTAGCTATTGAAGAGGAGGAAGTCGAAGAGCCTCAGCAAAGTCGTTTCAAGAAAATGCAAGAGAGGAATTTAGTAGAACTAGCAGAGGATCGATTCCAACTAATACGAAGAGTAAAGCCATGTGGGCTTTCCGCTTATACCAAAATTGGGCAATGTGGCGAAAGAGGGGTGACTTTTCTAAAGATGAGAAGTCTACCTGAGTGACGTTGTTAGCCAATTCATCGCTGAAGTTAGAAAGGAAGGAGGCGAACGATATCCCGCCAAAACATTGCACGAGATAGTGAGTAGTTTGCAGAAGTATTTTGAAATGAAGGGGAGAGTAGTTAAGTTTTTTGCATAGTTAAGCATTTGAAAAGCTAAGAAAATCACTAGATATCGAAATAAAAACTTCAACCAATAACAAGCTAGGCTTGCATCCCAAGCAGGCACAAGTAATTTCTGAAGAAATAGAAAATTATCTTTGGGAAAACAAATTTCTGAGCGATAGTTGTCCCAAAGTTCTGTTGAGAACAGCCCTTTATTTAATAGGTCTAAATTTTGCCATGAGGGCTGGGGATGAACATAGTAAATTGACCATAAGTAATCTTTCAATCAATACTGATTTCGAGGGGAGGGAATATTTGCTTTATTCGGAGGGTGTGTCTAAAACTATACAAGGTGGTTTGAAACATCGCAAGTTAACGCCCAACGTTAGTAGGGCATATGCTAATGTCCAATGTCCAGAGCGATGTGTGGTGCAAATTGTTAAGACCTATATAAGGCGTTGTCCTAAAGATGCATTAGAAAAGGCTTTTTTATTTAAAGCCTTTGCAAAATTACAAGAAAGGATAATTATGGTACTGTAGTGTTCCTTTGGGTCATAATACACTTAAGAATGTAGTTCAGTCAATGATGAAGGAAACTGGGGTAGATGGTTTTTTCACAAAT